GCTGCTCTTGGAACAGCCATGAAAGACGGAATTGTAAAAAGATGAGAAACCTTTGTTCTATTCAGGTACGATCAAGACGTTTTGGTAAGGTTTGAATGAGGATGTAGTGTGAGGTGTGCGATGTAAAGGTTTGATATGTTTGACCGGCTGACTAAATGACCAATTGTCTTCTAAACCAATCCTGTGATGCCGTTTACATCGGCTGACTTTTATACCTCAAGGTCTGAAAGTAAATATTAACCAATCAAAACCGCTTAATGGAATTATAGTGGGCCGCCTTAATACAGTGTATAAGAGGCAGAGTTGGAGGAGGAAGAGAGATTTAGGCGAATGGTGTTAGCATAGATTAGCTTAGCCACAGTTGCTGTTGTTCTACGTCTTTTCTACTTTGACTCTCTTCATTTAGCTCCATGGTATTTTAAATGTTCTTGTGAATTCTGTATGAAAGTCCCTCCGTCTAACTCCCTCTCTCTCTCCCATTGTTTCTGCCTCTCCCTCTCTGTTTCTCCCTCTTCTCCTCTTTTGCCAAATTAAAGAAAATCTCATTGATCAAAGGGAAAGCAGAACAGGAAACATCGGACAGACAGCAGATGATACATGTTAAAAAACACAGAGAGTTGATTTAGAGCCACGGACCACATGGAGAAACACTTGAAGAAGGACATGGCAGGAGACAGAGGAGAGCAGAGGGGGGAGAACGATGAAGCCGTAAACCCTTCTCCATTTCCAAACCAGACAAGGCTTTTTCTGTACTTTTGCAAAGTCTTCTGGTCCCACATGTCCATACATGCACCCGGAGGATCACAGAAAGAGAGCGAGAGGGAGAGAGAGAGCATAAGTTTCTGTGATGCTGATCTCCTGTCACCCCCTTCCTCCATACACACACACACACACACACACCTCCTGTACTGCGGTCCGGAGCAACTAAGAACAATGCCTCCATTCAGCTCTTCGGTTTCAAAGTGGAGAGGAACCACAGAGTGCTCCACAGCGTTTGGTGCAGGATGGAGGCATGAGGAAGGTTATTGACAAATATGGTCGAGAAAAAGGGAAAAAAAAGGAGGTCTCCGATGGACTTAGGCATTTTCATGTACACCGTGTTTGACTTCAGTGTCCTTTTTTTTGTACTACTAAAAACACATAAATATTTTGTCAAGGTCACACCGTACTCATAGTTGATCTTCATGACTAACTTTAAGTGTTGCATTTTGTCTACTTTAAAGTTTCTTCTTTAACTATTTGAATACACTTCAAACTTAAACTTTCTGTCTTCCTTATTTTTCTGTGTCCCCCGTTGACTGTTTTTAGATTTTCCTTATCGCCTTTTATTCTTGCTTATCTTACAACACATTTGGTTGATCACATGCCTTCACCCGATTGTCTGTCGACTGTCCGACCTCCGCGCTTCTCTTATTGATCGCCAATATAACCGATGGACTTAGGCATTTTCATGTACAGCGTGTTTGACTTTGGGGGCTCCAGTTTTATGAGGCCTCTGGCAGCTGGTGAAAGTCATGTGTTCCTTGTTAAAAAATCAGAATTTAAGGTGAGACTGGGGCAAATGGAGTGATTTTTTTTTTTTCTGAGAAAGCAATAACTTTGGTTGGGAGTTCCTCAGGGCACAGAAATTGATTGAATTTTCTGATATTTTTGAAAAATCAAAAATGAAAAAATGATCATCTCATCACATTTTTGGTGAATATATTATTGATTAATTTGACGTTTTTTAATGCTCTGCGCTTGTTCATTTGACTCACACACTCCTCTTATTTCCTCTTTTTTATTGTCTTTACAACAGCGTCTCTCACTCTGCCTGTCTCTGTACCAAAATATCTCAAACTGAAACACTGAAGCACTAAAACCAGATTGCCTGCAGCTACAAGTGTATGTGAGTGTGCGTCAGAGGCCCTCACTCTGGGCATGCCCATGCATAGCCCCCGCTTCACACACTCGCACCAAAACCACACGAAGACAACAGTGAAACCAGAGACAAAGACAGACATTCTTTAACGTTCTCGTGCCTGGCTCTTTGAGCTACACACATCTAAACTCCATATTTGTTAAACAAGGCACAACACATGTTGTTTGTTTATGCATATGAATGACCGTTTTGTCTCGGCGCTTCTAGCTGTTCTGTTGTCATCCTACAAATTCTGCAAAAGTTATGGACTGTAAACACGTTTCTGTTATCTAGTTCTAGTTCTTCATATTGTTTTCTGGCGGTTTGTCTCAAAAATATTAGAGCTCAAGTATGTTTCTGTAATGCAACGTTTCGGTAGCTCTAATCTATCCTCGCTACTTTACAAATACATTTTTGTGTTTTCAGGTTACGGTAGCTCTGGTATGTCAGACAAGGTGTTAGTACATAGAGTATCGGAGTGTGTCAGGAGATTTCAGTCTCCGAAGTCTGAGGTGTTCGATGCACTTTAACGACTGGGACATACGCAACAACTAAGAAATGTGTTCTCTAAAAGTTTGCCAAACTCTGTCTCTCCCAGGGCTGAGATCATTTTTTGATTTAATTCATAGTTCTGGATTGAGAGTTCATGCAGCTTTTTTGGAGCCAGACATCTTTTTTTGTGACTGATCAGAAGTTGAAGTGGAAAAAATGAACATTAAAGTAATAAAAGCAATAATAACAAAGTGAATAATAACTAGGTACAGTATAGTAACACTTTTTATTTATTAATTAATTAATTAATGAATTCAAAAACTGGTCTTCCTGTCATTCATTAGTGGGAGGGTCATGTGTGGATGTCCCAGGGATTTGGCATCTTGTGTCTCCTGTATTACAAAATGTCCTAGCCTGACTGTGGACAAGAGTTCAAGTTTGTGGATACAAGATGAAAAATACTGAACATCACTGAGGTCACGAGCAGGTCAAAGGTGAATGTAAATTAAATGTGATTCAGGATGGTGGACGACAGGGAACCAATCAGAATAGTTTACAGTTAAACTACAGGTATGTTAATTTGAAAAAGTGCATTTTTTAGTTTACGACCGAAAGACTTTTATCACTGAAACAAAACTGCCGAAACAGGAAGTTGTAGTGAGGCAAAAACCGCAGCCGGTGTGGCCTTGTCTGATAGTGCCGACAGTTCTGCGGTGTGGACGTATTTTAATATATCTGAGAAACAGCCACGGGTAGCGTTTTTGCTAAATTTGTAATGCTGAAATTTTAATTTTATGAGAGAACATTTAAAATTTTACAATCTTTCAGCTGGCCAGTAGGCCTGTGCTGTACATTATCATTTGATGTACACACAAGTGGGGTCAAATTTACCATTTATTTTGAATTTAATGTAATTTTATATTGTGAATATATTATAGCGAATTATAGTGAATATATATTATATGTCATAGCCATAAATCTGCTGCTAATCATTTTTACCTAGGGATGTTCGATATTAACTTTTTGCCGATGTTGTCCAAACACATAATTTCCGATTCCAATATCAACCGATACTGATATAGCTGGGCAGTGTTGGAAGTTAAGTGTTGCCTGCGCAATAAGGTGATGAGTTAAAACAGTGTTTCTCAATCATTTCTGCCCCCTAGGGGACAGAATTAAAATAGTACTAAGAGCCTGTTAATATTTATTTATCTGTAAAACTGTGTAAGAGAAGCTGCGTAGCATTAACATAGTTGTTGCCCTGATTATCAATATAGATTAATAAAATAAGCTACAATGCTGCCATCTAGTGACTAATGCTAATGCTAATTTGATGTGTTTATAGACATTGACATTGATTTAGCTTTCCAAACACACAGGTTGATCCTCTGGTCTATCAGTCAATCATCATTTCATCTATTTTCTACCAGCATCCTGTCTCTGCAGGGTATTTTTACCTACTGAAGTTAACTTGGTTTTTGTTTCTTTGTCTTTGTGGTGATAACAAGTGCTTGATAGAGGAAGAGGAAGAGGGAGACGAGTCTAGTGACAGGAAACGTCAGGCGGCCTCCACCCTGATAGTGGAGGATAAAGATGTTCTGGTTCCTCTTTCTAGTTTTCTCACTTCTTCACTTGAATTCGAGTGCCTGGTTTAGAGTACGTTTTGCGTCACTGCAAGTATGAAATTGTTGGAGCTCCAAAGTTTGGTTTCTTTTCCCTGTTCTTTCTGCTCTCTTTGTTCTTCTCACCCATTTGCATGTTGTTAATTTTCTCCATATGCTGGTTCTCCTTCTTCTTGCCCTTCGCCTTCTTCTTGTCTTTTATTTTCCTTCCATCCTTCTTATTGTCATTTGTTTTCTTCTTCTGTTTCTTCATTCCTTTCCTCCATCTCCTCGACCTTCTGCTTGTGCCATTTTCTGTTCTTTTCTTTATCAACCTCTTCCCCTACCTTTTCACTTTCTCCTTTTCTCAGCTTCTTCCTTTTTTCCTAACTGTACATTTCCTTATTCTTTTTCCTCTCCTCCCTTATTTCTGATTCATTTTTCTTCTACTTCTCCTTCTCTTCCTTGTTCTCTCCTTTCCTCTAACCTCGTCCTCCTTCCAACACATTATTTATCATCTTTCCTCTTTTCTTTTCATCTAGAAAACTCAGTATATAATCCATATATACAGCAGTGAGGTCACATGATTAGCATGTCATGGTTTTCCAAGTGTTTCCGGTGATTCCTTGTTTGTTGTTGACACAACAGTCGACTTCATTACTGCCCATGTGACCATGTCCATCTGGGTAGCGTGGTGGTTTGTCCTGAAAGACTCAGCACAGGATTAAAGTCTCTGAGCAGAAGGTTCCAAATCACATAGAAGTCAACTCTTTTTAACAATGTGAAATATTATTTTTGCATATTTTTGGAACATATTTTCATTTTATTTGAACTTTTTGAATGTGTACTATTTTTATGAAAGGGGCATTTGTATGGGAATATGATATCATCCAACCACTGTTCCCTTTTATGAAAACATTTCACACACATTTTACTGGCAAATGTCACCACAAACCCAACAAGCACATCAGCCTTTTACTTACAAGCCTGTCTTTATTTTCCTCCAGCCACGATGAAGAAAAGCCAGAACAGCTCCTCTTGGACCAGCGAGGGTAGCCTGATGTTCAGGGGGAACCAAAACTCCTTGCCTACGCCCTCCTCATCCACCTCTGTTACCACATCATCCTCCACACCCTTCAAATCCCAGGTGGCCTCCATCGACGGAGTGAGCTTCTCTGAGGGCGACCTGCTCCTCCAGGTGACACACCAACCATGTTCTCGTCTATTGTTGTCAAAAATAACTCATGTTGGAGACTGTGAGAGTCTTCTTTCAAAATAATGGCAGAGCCACGGCGGCTCCGCACACACAGCTGCAACAGAGCTTAAAGGTCATATAACAGACGAGAAACCTGTCAACACTGCACGAAAGTGCAGCGTTTAAGTTTGCCAAAGAGCTTGACGAGTGGCCAGATGAATGCTGGCAGCACATTCTTTGGTCAGATGAACCCAAAATAAATGTGTTTGGCTCAGACCAGCTCCAGAGTTTTGGCGTGGTCCTGGCTGCTGCTGCTGCTGCCGCCGCCGCCGCTGCTGCCGCTTCTGCCGCGGGTGCTGTGG